AATTGCAAAACCTAAACCCTAAATATAGGCCACATGATTCATTCGATTCTATTCACCATTATCCTGTATTAGTAGACAAGTTAAACTAGTACTGGAAACGGAGACGACCCAGGGGGCATATGAATAAAATAATATTGTGATTTTAATAGAAAGGACCCACATCTGCTCGATCAATCATCGGCACCTCCGTCGAACCGAAGTCTCCAGGAATGGCGCTGCAGCAGTGCGGCCAGGAATGGTCACTTGGAACGCCTGAAGCCTCAAGTATGCCCAGAAAAGTGTTTGTCCCTGGGATCAATTCACATGCAGCAAATCTGCCGAGCATGTCCATTTGGAAATCCTGAAACATGCCCACCGAAAGGGTTGTGCCTGGGGCTCAAGGAAGGCCATTTGATGCTCATAATTTTATGGATGTCCAATGGTATGAACGCATACGGTATGCTTCAATGCTGCTAGGTATGGCCATCTTGAGGTTATAATGTGTGAGGCTAGCAGTATTCCCAAGGATTTCATTTTGAATCTGACTGTCCGGTTCAAGGAAAAAAGCTAAGTGAATGTCGACGCAATCAGTGGCAATAAGGTTGCGACTATGTTCCATTATGGAGATTGGGGGGGGGGGCTGTGAATGCTACCGGTACAGGGCCCTTTATGAATGCTTGACGGCCGATTACGCCACCGTACTGGTAAACGAGGGATCTGGATCTCACAGAGGTGCTTTCGTGGCTGGGGCTCCTTTCACACACAGGTGGGAACTTGCAAGTGCGGAAAAGGCTTGACGTCTGCATCAATGTCACTGGCTCTGCCTGTGCATTTGTGCATGATTCTCACGCTTCTCGCGCTTCAGGGCTCCATTTGGAAGACTTAGGTAGCTAACTGGCTGGCTGGGGCTTGTAGCCGTCTGCAGGGATAAGCCACGTAAAGCTACCGACATGAACGGATACCACGCACCTACCGGTATACTGGAAATACTTTATTGTTTCCGCAAAGAAGACGAGCTCGAGCAATCTGAAACTCGGCGTGCACCACTGGGCTTTGCTTGTCAATCTTCCCGTGCTTCGGGGCCAAGCAAGCAAATCTCGTTGCCAATCCATTCTTCCACTTTTCGAACAGGCACTCCAGAATCCAGAGATCCAGATGCCTTCGCCGATCAACAGCTCCCGTAAATAGCGCCAGGCAGAAGTCTCCGATCGATCGACAGAACCTGTCCACACAGTCACTGAGCCTCCTTCCGAGCTCGAGCAGTCAATGCAAATCGACTTCTTTGGTACTGTACCGGTTGCACCAAAGATCTTTCAGCGAGTGAATTTGTGCGCGTGTGCGCGTGTCCGTACGTCCGTGCGTACCATAAACAAAATAAGAATTTGGTTCCAAGAGTCCGAAATACTTAATGACGGTGTATTTGGGGGTGAAGCTTATTTAATTATTTCTGTCGGGTTTACGGCTCGTAAGTCGCGGGCATCCACCTCTTTTAGAGAGAGACCAGTCTCAGTTTCCAATCACCGCCGACTCGACTCATTTCTTCACTTCCACAAGCAACAGCTCGACTGAACCTACCGGCTAGCTAGACTAGTACATGTACCGGTATGACTTGACGACTTGACTTCTGTGCTCTTCGATCATTCCCTGCTTCGTATCGAGTGAGTTGATACCCACAATCTCATGAAAGGCTCGATCGATCGATAAAGAAGTCCACCATGAACCGCATTGAGCTGGATAACAGGAGCAACCCCTACTCTCGATCGAACGCGTTAAGGGTGTCAGACCACATGCCCACCATGCCCGAAGATGCCGTGTCAGCCCCGATGACCACTGCACCGGCTATCAAGTATATGGAGTTGAAGCTGTGTGTTCTCAAAGGAGATGGTTTGGCCGCCAAAGACCGAAATTTTCTACTGCAAAAGACGTCTTCAGATCCTTATTGCATTTGTGAACTTCACGCAGCCGGAAACAAGCCTCGAAAACTCTTCCAAACTAGGACCGTTGCCAAGACGTTGAGCCCAGTGTGGAATGAACAATACGTCTTGGACAAACCATTGCCTGCAGCAGTGCTGCAAGACAAGAATCATCGCCCGACCATTGTGCTGAGACTGTTCGATTATGACATTGGACGAAAAGACGACAGTATGGGTGTGGTGACGATCCCAATCCAAGCCGAGGATATCAACATTAGCCAATGGTACGAAGTGCCAGCACACTCTGCCAAGGGCGCCAAAGGAAGAATCAAGGTGGCCATTAAAACCAAGGTTCACTACGAAAATGAAGAATCCATCATTGTCCTCAAAGGGGCTGCCAAGAGACGCAATACCACTCCTGGTGCCTACTTGGATTGTCTTTTCTTTGGAGGCAACTGCAGTGATCACAATCAGCCACGCAATTCGCTCCACAAAAACTCGGGTCACCGACGAAACTCGCACAACGAGGAAGTGTCGCGCCTGAATATCTTTGGCAGCGAAATGATCACCAAAGACTTTATCTTGACACAGTTGGATCAACTCGAGTCCAACCAAGACATTGTGCTGCTCGAGCTCGAGGATTGCTTTGTGTCGCAACGACGCAACGATGACGACTCGATGGAAATCCCGCTTCGTATCAAGGAAATATTGGCACAAGATTTGCGTCCTTGGAGGGAAATCAGATTTGTCGATGAACTGCACGATGCCTGGTCCTATCTCGAATTTAGACGTCGGCGCAAACAGTTCCTCAGCACCTTGGATGGCATCTGCAAACAAAAGGTGATTCCGGTGACCTTCAAGACTACGATTCATCTCAGCGAATATGATCGACAACAACAACGGAGGCGTTCTGCCAAATCGATTACCAGTCTCATTCGACACTTTCAAAAGGATCCTAGCGTCGTCAAAGTGCACATTGACACCAACCAAACAACAGTGGAAATGATAGATGCCTTGACCGACTTGTTGAAATGCGATGATCGGTATTGGGCCGATTTGACATTAAAACTGCAAACCGACAATCCGCCTCAGAGCCCGGAGTGGCGGTCAGCCATGGAAGAGGCGTCGAACAGATTGCAAGCAGCCATCCGAGCCAGCGGAATGGATCTGCCGGATAAAGAAGACGAAGGGGTGATTGAGTAGAAAAGGCGTGGCCTATAGCTTCTTTCTAACTATGGTAAAAGTTGTCATCCACGTTGGCTGTTACTTGGATATTACTTGAGCCAAACTGCTGCTGCCTGGTCTTGCTTGTCAGTTGAAAGAGCTGATGTAAGAAGCATGGTTGCTGCATCAGAAGAACTCAGCGTCCATCTACAAGTTTCATTTATCGATACATCATCCCCAGGCTCCACCATTTCACTGATTGCCCGAGCAATCGGGTCCACGAACATGACAGCATGCTCTCTCCCTGGCGAGTTGTCGTACTCAGATGTGTAGTGTTGAGTGTCTGCGGTTTCTGACCATAGTTCCAATGTCAGCCTTGCGTGCCAAGCAAGCAGACGCCGGTATGGCATGCACCCACGAGGGCAGAGCAGGGGCTTTTGATGGACATCAGAAAACGTCTTGCAAGAACCATCAATTGTCTTCTCCGTGATCGAAGTATCCGCAACCCACAGAACAAGTTCGGTCCCCAGCACGTTGTAAAGGAAACAGACTTGCTGATTATCAAATGCATCTTCAATTCCCTTCGTAAGAAACAGTCCATTCCTTGGGCTGTTTACATCTTCAGTTCTTAGACCAAACTCTTCTAGTAAATGTCCTCGTGCTGACGCCTTCCAAATGTGAGCAGCAATGATACCGGTGGTTTCGTCTTCTGCCTTGCAATTTGGAATGTATGCATCCGGGATCTGGCACTTGACACTTTTCCCTGATGTACTCGCACGTTTGTAGAACTTAATTACTTTTTTCGAATCTTCCATTGCGCTTGCTGCCGCTTGTTCGTAATGATTCTCTCTTCCAACAGTTCAGTCGACTTTTACGCGATAGCCCCACCTCTCGAACTACCTCTGGCAACACATTGATCAACGGAATCAAGCGTTCGATCTCCGTCAACACATTTGACAACGACTTTTGCCTATTCTGGGGACACTCGTCGATGTCATCAACTTGCGCAATTATGCCTGGTGTTGCAGGGTTGCGCTTGCCACAGAACCTGCAGAGCACTTGCTGTCCAATCACTGTGGAAAAGTCGTGGGGCATGGCGATTTTGTATTACATGTAGTACTTGTGGACGACAAGAGCAATAGACGGTATAGAAGGCAATGGAAAAGGACTGTGAAGAGCAGGCTACTCCGGAGAGCAAATGAGGAAAGCAGCAAAAATGAGGAAACGCTTTGGAGAAAATCAATGCTGCTTTCAGTCATGGAGCCACTGCTAACCAATGCCAACCACTGTTTCGCGAAACAGTGGTGCCTTTCAACACTGCTTACCACTCTCTTTACCACTGTTTTACCACTGTAAAAAATACAGTGCTTGTAGTGCTACTGTTTACCAGTTGTCGGTGCGTGGACCGATTCTATTCGTCCGTTTGCTGCGTTACCGAAAAGAAGTCAAGTGTGGCTGAAGACTGAAAGTGTTCCTGTATGTCTAGCTAGCTAGTAGCTGTCTGTCTGGGTGCTATTGAGAGCTATTGTCCCCCAATTGCAGAGGATTCAGTGCTTTGCTGCCAATGTAGGGTTGCAAAAATGTCAACGGTCGAGGCATAGTTTTGCTATAAGCCAATACTCCTGTATCCCGATGCTCAAATT